ATTGTACAAAGTTTTTCATCCAAATTCATTACTGTGGGAAGATAAAATAGCCACTTTGGAGAGTCTGACACTCCCTCAAAAAGTTAAATGGAGTTGTTCATATGACTATGATCCAAAAATTCCACCCCTAAATATGAACACAAAAGAAATAAGAGTACATGTCTGAACAGAAACTTACATATAAAGTATAGCAACCATATTTAGAAGAAACAAAAGGTAATAATAACCCAAGTGGTCATAAACTGATAAATGGCTAAACAAAATATATAACTGACATAAAATGGTATATATTCAATCATAAAAAGAAATGGAGTGATGATATATTTGTATAAATTTTAAAATGATTATATTAAGTGACAAAAACAAGCCATAAAAGGCCACATATTATTATCTTATTTGTAGTTAATGCTCATAAAATGGAAGCCAATAGACTAATGTTTGTATAAGGACAGCAAAAGGAAGAATGACAATAGGTACAAAGCTTCCTTCTTAGGTAAAGCAGATGAATAAAAGCAAGCTTTTGGGAGTGGTAACATAACTCTGTAAATACTTATAATCATTAAATTGTGTGCTTAAAAAATTACAAACCAAAAATCAGTTTGGGAGTTGTCAAGAACAGTGAGTGGAAGAGAGGAGTGACCACAAAGACGCATGTGACAATTTGGGAGAAGCATGGAAATATTTTATATCTCAACTTTAGTGTTGGTTACACAAAAGTATATATTTATAACCAAGTACACTGAACTTTTAATACTTGGACACAATGAGATTTATTCTATACAAATGATACCACAATATAGCTGCCTCTTAGCAAACGGTAAACAGGAGCAGCATCTCCAGTCGCATCTCCAGTCGCGCACAAATTTCAAACATATATTTCACTTGAGTTCACACTGCAGCTCTAGCAGCAGTTTTGAGACCTTAAGGCCAAGTGGAAAAGTTATTACCGGAGCCCAAGATCCACTTCCCTGTGCAGGTGAGAAGCTTTCATCTAACCATCAGTTGGAAGTGATTAATCTGCAACGTAACGACATTCCCCAAAGCAAACATGACAATAGACTTATTTCTCAAGCAGCAAATATGGTCAGTTAAAATCCTATGCTTCTGTACCCCTATCCAATCATAAGAAAATAGACTTTAAAAAATACCTAACAAGTACACTTCAAAACTACCAAGGTCAGCAAAACAAACAAAACCTGAGAAACTGTCACAAGCTTCTAAAGATACAGAAACACCATTTGATTCATAGGACCCTGGATGGGACACTGCCCAGAGAAAAACTAATGAAACTAGAAAAGTATGGAGAAAAGTTGATTACAATATACAATGTGTGCTTATCTGTTGTGATAATGATAGAAAAGTGAATTAAAGTGTTAATAATAAAAGATTCAACAAATACTGCTAGAACAATGTGGATAACAACCTTAGCTAACCTGATGTTACACCGTATAGAAAGGTTAACTCAAAATGGATCATAGACTTAAATGCAAAAGAGAAAACCAAAATTCCAGAAGAAAACATGTGGAATCAACTCATCAAAATCATAACATTCTGAAGTCTTAACTAGATACAACACTAGAGAAAGACAGAGAAGATCTTGAGGTAGGAGAATCACTGAGTCTGGGGCAAGCCTGGGTTACACAGTGAGTTGCAGGACAGCCTGGACTACAGAATGAGACCTCGTCTCAAAAAAAAAAAATCACCAGGTGGTGGTGGCCCACGCCTTTAATCCCAGCACTTTGGAGGCAAAGACAGGCGGCTCTCAGTGAGTTCAAGGCCAAATTGGTTTACAAAGTGAGTTCCAGGACAACCAGAACTGCTACACAGAGGTCTTGAAAACAAACAAACAAAAAGTTCAAAACCTTTTCCTTCAAAACACATACCATTGTGGTGAAGAAAGCTGAACAACAGTGGCACACACCTGTAAAAGCAACTTGGGTGTCAAAGGCAGAAGGATTGCAAGTTTGAGACTAGCTTGGGATACACAGTGAGACCATGTCTCAAAATAGCACAAACAAAACCAAAACAAAGCAAAAGGAGAAAAAAAAAAAAACAGACGGCAAGACAAAGTAGGGGTCAGTATTTGCATATCATATACCTGACAGGGATTTGGATTTAGACTGTGGAAATAATTGTTACAAGTCAACAAGTAAACAACAACCTACTTTTAAAATGGAAATAAACACAGAAGCAGATCCTTATGTGTAGGAGATACACCAATGGCTTAAAAGCGCTTAAAAAGATATCTACCACTACTAGCCACTCCATATGAAAATAAACATTGTAACTAATATATCATTTCCTGCCAACTTAAATCGTTACAGTGTTTTAAAGGGTAAGGCACATACCTGAATCCCAGCATTTGGGAGACTGAGGCAAGGGGATTGTGAGTTTGAAGTCATCTGGGCCTCATTCTCAAACAAAACAACAAGAAGAGCCCAGTAAATAACAAATATGCGTGGCAATGTGATGCAACAAGAAGCCTCATGCACAGACTGCAGCTGCTGCTTTGGAAAACAGTTTTGTAATTGCTTTAAAAGTTAAACATAAATTGTCCTGTTACCCAGGAATTCCACCTTCAGGTATCTAGTAACAAGAGATGAAAACAAACATCCACACAAAGATGCGAAAACAAGTGTCCTAAGCAGCATTAGTCATAAGAGCTTACAGCGAGAAAAAAAAAAACCACTAAATTTCTATCAATTGGTGAGTAGATACCCAAAAATGTATTACCCGTCCACTGTAATATTATTAGGCAACAGAAGTAAGGAAGTACTTACGCATGTAACAATATGGTTAAGTTCTCAAAACCATTACACTGAGTGAAAGAAGCCAGACTCAAAAGATCTCATATTACATGATTTCATTTATGTGAAATGTTAATTAAGAATGGACAATTTTATAAAGACAAAGAGTACACTAGTGGCTGCCTGGGCAGGAAGTGGGGATAAAGATGAACTGAAAAGGGGCATGAAATCTTACTGGGACGATCAAAATGTTATACAACCGATTCATTGTGATAGCCACACAACTCTGAAATTTACTAATAATCAATTAATAATTAAATAGGTGTGTTTTATTTAGCTTTGTAGTGCTGAGTATTGAACCTACTAGAGCCTTACACAGGTCTGCTAAATGTTCTACTGTTAGGCAAGCCTAGCCCCAGTTGAATTTTATGGTGTGTTAAGTTATCACAATCAGATTGTTAAATAGGGAGGGAAAGGTAAAACTGGGTGGAGAATATGTAGGAATTCTGCACAATCTTTGCAACAATTGTTTTGAAACAGGGTCTTGCTGTCAGTAGTCCTGGCTGTCCTTGAACTTGGTCCAGGGACCTGGCTGGTCTCAGGCAGAGAGATCTGCCTGCCTCTGCTTCCCAAGTGCTGGGATTAAAGGTGTGAGTCACACCACCCGACTTTGCAACGTTCCTATAAATCTAAAACCATTCTGGAAAAAAAATGTTTAAATTTATTTAAATCAAAATTAGAACTTGTGACCTTAGAAATGGTTCCACAAGGAAGTCTGATGAGCTATGCTAAATCCTCAGGGCCATATGATGGAAGGAAAGAATCAGCTCCCAAAAGTTGTTCTCCGACTTCCACATGCAATGCCAAGGCATGTACACACACATACACAGAGAGGGAAGAACAGACAAACAGAGACAGAGAGACAGAGACACACACAATCAATAAAATAGTCTTTAAAAAAGAATATGGTTGTGGATTATCAATATTTGGCAGTAGCTTTCTGTGTAAAAAGATATTTCAAAGACTTTCCATCGATTAAAATGGATAAAATCTCATCAAAGAACATCTGGAATTGATTTTGATGATAGAAAATAATAACTTTAACCTCAATTAAGCAAAATAGTATGTCCCTCAAAGAATTCTGATCTCAGTATTTCTGTGTGAAAAATATATTCTACTATTATTATATCTAGAATTTCACCAATTAACTTTTGTCATAACTTGTCTTCTGTACTTGGTTTTACCATTTGCCCTGAAAAAGCCTAAAATATCTATGATCTGGCATTTTACATAAACTTTGCTAATCCCTGTTCTACCCCACAACAGGAGAGGCATAAACATAATCAGTCACTTTTAAAATATATTTTCAGCACTTTTCTAATACACTTTCGGATATGCTCTATAAAAGACAAACCTTGCATCTCTTCTGCTACAGCACTATTTGGAATTTCCCTCTTAAAAACCCACATTGTTATCTTAACATTTTAGTAAGCCTCCATGTAATTGCCATTACCATTTTATTAAAGTGACAACATCATGCCCCAGTATCCCTAAGGTGACCGCAGTTAAGTAGCGTCACCAGGCTACAGACTCACTGAGATCTCTTAGATATCAAGTGGCTTCTATGGCATCACACCCTGTCTTTAGCATCACTCTGGCACATCACCTCTGTATGGTGTCATGTGTTAACCGCTGCTGTGGCAGAATCCTACTCTGATGCCACTTGCCGAGATGCCAGGGTAACTACCCTGTGCTTCTTTCCGCTCCTTGGACAGTGGCAGGGAGGGGGAGGGTAGCAACAGTCAGTGGTTCAAGCTCAAGTGGTAGTACTCAGCTCCAACTACTGTCCCTTCCGCCTGCCACTGCAAGTGAGGGCCCAGAGGGACAAGATCTTTAGGGTTCCAGAAGTCTCTTGGCCTGGTATAGTATCCCTTTCATGTGACCGATTTACTGGCCTACCAACGACCACCCACCCTAGCTCTTTCACACAGTGCCTCCAGAAGCCGCTCCCATTACCTGACTCCATTCTCCAGCTGTCATCCTGGGCCAATTCCACCGGCAACTTGACTACGGCTTTCTCAGAGGATTCTGGGACTTGTAGTTCCACACTGCTCTGAGACGGAACCGAGTAGCGGGTTGAGACGCTTTCAGGCCCGGAAATGCCATCAAACTTCAACTCCCAGAAGCTCCGGGCTATGGGACGGGAAACACGGAAACAGAGAGAACAGTGATTGGAGAGCCTCGAGCTCTTTGATTGGCTACCGGAGCAGGAGCCGTGAGTGGGCGGGGCTTGAGCTTCACGGAGATTCTGGGAAGGCGAAATGGAGGGGAGTGTGTCTAACGTAATGGTCTGCAACCTGGCCTACACCGGAAAGCTGGATGAGTTGAAGGAGAGCATTTTGGCCGATAAATCTCTAGCTACTAGGACCGATCAGGTAAAGCAGTCCGAGGGCCTGGCGCTTAGCCGCGGGCGTCAGCGAAGCCCTACAAGGCTTCCCGGCCCTGAGTTGGTCCAAGGCCACTTCTGAGCTCCTCCCGCCCCCTCCTCCCTCTTTAGCCTTGGGTTAGCTCAAGACTTGCTGCCCAACTCTTGCCCACAACTGACTTTTTTGGGGGAGGGGGAGGGGCCAAACACTTAGCTCGCTGAATTTCCTATATTCCTAGATCATCCACGGCTTTTCTCAGAAATGCCCAAGCTTCAAGACACAAGAATTTTGTGAAGAAAGCTTTTTATGTGGATTTCTTTTTCTTTTGTTGTAATCCCGTTAAATCGACCACGTGTAACTGAATTTTGTGCCAGGGAGTTTGAGAGGAGCCGGGAATTTCTGTTAAGTAGAAAAAGTAGGCAAAACTGAAATAACGACAAAATTCATCTTATTACATTTTGTAAACTCTCCCCCCCAAAGAACTTTATGTGTTCATTTCTGAACATGGAAAGGGAAGACTCTAGGAATAGTCAGAAAGGGCTTTGTATAGAAGCGGAGGTTATTTCCACCGTGAACAAAAAATGGATTTCCACCTCGAGTGGAACTGAGTAAACTGAGGACACTGGAAATGAGTCTGTTCTGATCAACACCATCTCATGTTTTCTTCATAACTTTCTAAATCATAGATTGCTATTTGATAGACATGGCGTTAAACACTAGTAAACAGTGTATAATACTTCAAAATCTTCATGTTCTGACCTTTTTAGAAGATAACTCAAAATGAAGAGAAAATTTCTTTGAAATTTTCCTTTGTTACTCAACAGGAGAATTCCCCTATGTTCACGCAGTTTGCTTTTGTTATTGTCTGATAATATGGTTTAAATTTAATAAAATGAATTCTATTAAGACTTATGAAAATGTAACCATGCTTCAATCAAGTCAGTGGCATAAAAGAGAGAGTAAGGATTATGAAGCTTAACAAACAACCAAATGCAATTAATTTGTGGATATGATTTAAGATATGATCTTTCTATGTAACCCAAGCTGTCCTGCTCAAGCCCCTCCTATACACTAAGTCCTAGAAGGTTTGCATTCCACCCGTGACAAAGAGTTAATGTTAATTTTAAAAATCTAATAATGATCTTGTGGCTTCTTACAAAAGCACTTTTGTTTTGGTTTTTGGAGACAGGGTTTCTCTGTAGCTTTGGAGCCTGTCCTGGAATTAGCTCTAGTAGCCCAGACTGGCCTCGAACTCACAGAGATCTGCCTGCCTCTCTCTGCCTCTCTAGTGCTGGGATTAAAGGTGTGCGACAAAAGCACTTTTATTTTGTGGGTGCTAAATAATTAGAGGTAACAATCATGACATTTCGGGTTCTGTTTTAAAGAAACCTCAGCAGGGCCAAAGAGGTGGATAAGTGGTTAAGACTATGTACTCTTCAACTGGGCTGTGGGAGTTCGACTCAGTGCTCCACTGTGGATCTCTGCTTCTGTTTCCATCAGTTGCTGGATGAAGGTTCTGTGGTGACATTTAAGATAGTCATCAATCAGACTACAGGGCAAGGCCAGTTCAGGCACCCTCTCCACTATTGCTTAGGGTCTTAGCTGGGGTCATCCTTGTGGATTCCTGGGAATTTCTCTAGTGCCAGGTTTCTGGATTTCTCCCAAATAGCTCCCTCAATCAAGATATATCTTTCCTTGCTCTCCATTTGAAGAGTGAGAATACGAGCAAGTAGGTCAAGACCATGATGGGGACACCCACTGAAACAGCTTACCTGAGCTAATGGGAGCTCACCAACTCTGGCCTGGCAGTGAGGTAACCAACATAGGACCTAACTAGTTTCTCTGAATGTGGTTGACAGTTGTATGGCTGGGGCAGACTGTGGGGCCACTGGCAGTGAGATCAGGATTTATCCCTACTGTTTGAACTGACTTTTTTGAAGCCCATTTTTTTTTTTGTTAGAGGATTACCTTTCTCAGCCTAAATATAGTGGGGAGGGTGTTGGTCCTGCCTCAAAGTGATGTGGTAGACTTTGTTGACTCCCCATGGGAAGCCTTACTCTCTCTGAGGGGTGGATGGGGAGTGGAATGGGGGTAAAGATGGAGGGAGGGGAGGGAGTGGGAACTTGGATTGGTAAGTAAAATGAGAAAAAAATCGTTTTTAAAAAATAAATAGTAAAAATATTTTTAAAGTAAAGAAAATTTTTTTTTTAAAAAAAAGAGTATATGCTCCTTTTCCAGAGTACCAGAGTTGAGTTCATCTGGCCTCCCCGTGCACATGAAGTCATGTGTGCAAACCCACACAGAGGCACACAATTAAAAGTAAAATAACTCTTAAAAAACTTAAATAGTAACAATCTAGAAGTAAATATAGTAAGATATTTTTTGTTAAATCTAGATAATGGGTGCATGTGCATGTGGGTCTCTGTCTCTGTCATATTCTCTTTATTTTATTTGTATTTGAAATTTCCATAAGGTTTAATTGCTGTCTGGGAACACTGACAGGGAAAGCCACGGTGTCTACAGCAGTGAGACTTCCAGCTGGCTCCCTCCCTGGACACCAGCAGAAGCATCAAGTGATGCCAGTTCTATTCTTTTCCTTCTTCTAGAGCCTCTCCCCCAAACCAGGCAACTCCCTGAGTGTTACAGTTAAGTTACTTTAAAAGCTCAGTGGTAGAGCACTTTTAGGAGGCCCTAGGTTTGACCATACACACACACACACTATACATATATACATACAATCAGCACTTTACAGTACTCGAGGCTGAGAAGCATAGCAATCAACACAAATAGGGGCTCTCCTTGAGAATCATGATTCCTACCTTATTATTTTAAAAAATCAATTTTATTGTGCTGATTCTATGCAATGCAGCTCTCATTTCTTTCTCCATAACATTCGTGTGTTCACCAGATATGGTGGCATGCGCCTGCAATCGTAGCACTTAGGAGTTGGAGGAAAAGGATTGAGAATTTGAAGCTAATGTTGACTTACGTAGCAAGATCCTGACCCCCCCCCCCCCAAATTCACATCTTTGTAGAACCTCACTTGAAGTCTGTGTGGTAATAGAGATTCCACAGTCACAGAGCTTGGATAAATTGTGTGGCTCTGGATAAGTTGCTTATGTGAAGTAGTTTTAGTGACTTTACGTGTAAAATGAGGAATAATAGGGACCACAGAGAATGATGAGGATCCAAAGGAATGATGTACATAAAAGTCGCAGTGTTTCACATAGGCATGCGTAAGTGTTGGAATTATACACAGCAAATCTTCATCTCTACCACTGTATTTGGACTAATGCTTTCATCATTCCTTTCTGCCCAGAATTCCTTACATTCATTGATGTCACTCACCCTGTGTTACTAATACCTTGGCCTCTCAAATGCTAGTAAGTAATATGGTCTAAGGTTACCTACCTGAGGACCTGGTACTCTCCATTTCTTATGTTCAAACTGTAGGTGTACTGGCATCAGTAGTTTTCTGCCTATTTGTCTTCAGGAATGTTGACAGTTGTGCTCCCCTGTTTCCCACATAGGACAGCAGAACAGCATTGCACTGGGCATGCTCCGCTGGTCATACAGAAATTGTTGAATTCTTGCTGGGACTTGGCGTGCCAGTGAATGATAAAGACGACGTGAGTACTAGGCAAATTTGATAAGCTATGGGTTATCTTTAGACTCCAGCCTTGTATTTAGTGAAGCCTGAATATAAAACTCATAAACAAAATTTGGACCTTTATAAGTAGGAAGTTACAGTACGGCCTTAGTGAATAGGCCGGAGGCTAATGATTGCATTATTTTATAATGGTAATGAATCTCTGTAATTCAGGGTGGAAATACAGATCGGGGCTTATTATGAACTTAAAAAGACTGTAAACATTTTCATGTTAAAATTGTTGGTGAATATTGCCTGAATAATAAGGGCCTGGGTATATGTGCGTTACGTAGAAGCATTTATTATAATGATATTGATTATATTAAGATAAGACTTCTGGAGAGCTGGGGAGATGTTTTAGTAGTTAAGAGTGCTTGCTGCTCTTGGAGAGGACCAAAGTTTCATTCCAGTGCCCATGTTGGGTGCCTCACAGCTTCCTGTAATTCCTGCTTCAGAGGACCTGACACCCCATTTTGGCCTACATACATATCCACATAAGTAAAAAGATAAGACTCGCAAAAACTGAGAATGGAGCTTGTTTTTTTTTTGTAGGCACAGGTTAATTTTCAGAGATGTTTACTCAAGTAATGTTTCTAAGAGAAAATGAAAACAATTTTATGGGAGAATGATTGAATAGAGCGTGGGATACATACTTTGTACTTTAATATGCCATCAGTCATTCCAAAGAATGGCAGAAACATTCTTAGAAGTAGAATTTGTGAAAAACACACCTCACAGAACTTCATATACTCTGATTCTAGTTTTTATTTTTTCAAGTTATTGTATGGGAGAAAACCTATTAGAATTAGTATAATACTCCATGTCTGTGTTATAGGATTGTAGCTATTTTTAAAAGGTTTATTTCGTTTTTATTTGTATGTATCTGTGAGTGGATGCCGACTATGTGCAGTTATCTTTGAAGGCCAGAATAGGGCATCAGATCCCCAGGGGCTGGAATTACAGTCCATTGTGAGCAGTCTAAATTAAAGGAAGGTCCTTTGAAAGAGCAGTAAGTGCTCTTAACCATTGAACCATCTCTCTAGCTCCTCATTTTTCCTTTGTATAAATTTTTATTTCCAAATTTTCCACAATGCTTAATGGAGTGGAAGGAGAATACACAACTGTAAACCTTGAGTAAATGTTAATGTTCATACTTCTGTCCCTTTTCTCCTTGACTTTTGTTAAACTCACCTTTTATACAGGCAGGCTGGTCTCCTCTTCATATTGCTGCTTCTGCTGGCCGGGATGAGATTGTAAAAGCCCTTCTGGTGAAAGGCGCACAAGTGAATGCTGTCAACCAAAATGGCTGCACTCCCCTCCATTATGCAGCTTCAAAAAATAGGCATGAGGTATGCTTCTGTCCCTGCATGATTTTCCTTTGAGTTCTAAACATAAATAGAAACATAGATTTCCTCATTGTTTTCTTGTCCTTCTTTCCAGATTGCTGCCATGTTACTAGAAGGTGGGGCTGATCCAGATGCTAAGGACCATTATGAGGCTACAGCAATGCACCGGGCAGCAGCCAAGGGTAACTTGAAGATGGTTCATATTCTTCTGTTCTACAAAGCATCCACAAACATCCAAGACACTGAGGGTAACACTCCTCTGTAAGTGAAAAATAGCAGTCATTTTTATTCTGCTTATAAATGCAATACATGCTAAGAACAAAAGAAATTGAAAGGATACCAAAGTATAATGACAAAAACTAAAATTGCCTATCATTTTGCTATCCCCAAAAAATATGGATAGAAAATTTTGAGTATTTTTTCCAGTTGTTTATATGCAGATATATACAAAATTGAGATCATGTAACTTATGTTTTAATCTCATAGCACATTGTGAACATTTTTCAATGTCATTAAATATGTTTAAAACATTTATGATGGCTGTCTACAATTCCATTTTATGGATGTGCCATGATTTAATCATTCCTGATACTATTTAACAGTTCTGAACCATTGGCTATTTTAAGTAATGTTGCGTTGACCAATTTGCTTTAAAAAACAAAAACAAAACTCCACCCATATTGCTGATTATGGCCTTAGATAGATTCCTAGAAGTTGATTGTTTGTTTCAACAAATACACATACTTGAAGACGAATTGCTTCCAGAGGAGTTGTCTCATTGTACCCTCCCAACAGCATTTTAACAGAACCTAATACCTCCCCATCAGCACTCAGATTACCTTCATGTTGTATGATATATGACATTTCATGCTTAGTATGTATATTTGTTACTGATTTTGAAATTTATTAATGCTTAAGATTGTAATTTTGCTGGCTTTCTGTTCCCTTTTAGGGGAATTTCTTCCTTTTGACAGTTTTTTTTAACTTTATTGATTCTTTAGGAGTTTCACGTCATGTACCCCAATTCTGTTTACCTTTTGATTCCCCTTTATCTTCCCCTCATCCCTGCAGTGCCCCTGACCACAAAAAAGAAAACAAAGTAAGTAAACAAGCAAGCGAACAAGAACAAAACAAAACATAGAAATCCTCTTTGCTTTTCCTTTTCCCCACCTCTCTACCACTTCTCCGTTCGTCCTGGTGGCATTGGGGGCCTTAGCATGTCATATAGTTTGCCCTTTTGTCATTTTGACTAATTTTTCAGTGCTCTTGACACAGTAAAAATAGGAACATTATGCCATATCAGTTGAAAGTATTTTCCCAGTCTGTCTATTTATTTGCTCATGATTTTTCAACTATTGTCAGGAGTTACTATGTGGCCAAACCTATTAATTTCCACCACAACTAGAAAGCCTGAGATGAATGAAGTATTCACTTCTGACTCTTAAATCCACCTGGAATTAATTGATATGGATAACTTGAAGCCAACCTTTCCCTTGATTGGTGTGTGTGTATGGCTTTTCATGCCCATTTTTTTCCTTTGTTGAATAGTGACTTCTTGAATCAGAAATTTGGGGTCATTTTGTAGTGTAGAATAAGGCTGAACCTTTTCCCCTTTGACTTTAAGACAACTTTTGAAAGTATTGTTTTCAAGGACTGAACTTGGCGGCACAGGCCTTTAATCCCAGTCCTGGGGAGGCAGAGAAAGGCAGATCTCTGTGAGTTAGAACCAGCCTGATCAACATAGCTAGTTTCAGTCCAGCCAGGGCTCCTTAATGAGACCCTGTTTACAAAAACAAAAGCAAACAAACAAACAAAACTGGCTAGCCATGGTGGTGCCTACTTTTAATTCCAGCACTTGAGAGAAACAGGAACAGACAGACCTCTTTAGTTCAAGGCCAGCCTTGTCTACCCAGCAAGTTTCTATTTTATCCAGGGTTTCATAGAGAGATTCCATCATTAAAAGGTATTGTTTTCTTTTTTATTGAAAATAGATTCTTCTTTTATTCAATACATCCCAACCACATTTTTCTCTCCCTCCAATCCTCTGTACTTCTCCTACCTCCCCTCTCCCCCACATCCACTACACCTCAATTCCTTGTTATTAAAGAGCAGGCTTCTAAAAGATATCAGCCAAACACAGCACAACAAGGTACAGTAAGACAAGGCAAAAAGCCCTCATAACAAGGCTGGATCAGGCAACCCAGCATGCAGAAGAGATTCCCAAGACCAGGCAAAACAATCCGCCAATAACAAGCTAATAGTCATAACATACATGCAGAGGACCTGGGGCAGGCCCGGCTTGCTGCTTCAGTCTCTGTGATCCCAAATGAGCCCTACTTAGTTTATTTGGTGGGCCATGTTCTCCTAGAGTCCTCCATCCCCTCTGACTACTATAGTCTTTCCTCCCACTCTTCCACAGGGTTCCCTGATCTCCGAGGGTAGGGACCCAATGGAGACCAAGAAAAGTATTGTTTTCTTAATTCTTACTTGAAAATCTTTCTTGTAGGCCTAAGCAACTGTGTGTTTCTTTTAATGAATATTCTAGCTTATTTCTCCATGACTTATTAATCACGTTGGCCTGGAAATAGTCTAGGAATTAGATAGTATGGGGTCTTTGGGAGAAAGTAGGGTTTAGAATTGGATGGATACTCTTCTTCATTACAAATGCTGCCACTTTGTAACTACATTACGCATGCATGTTAAAGAACTTAACCTACCTTCCCTTCTGTAATATTGTAGCAGTAATTTCTTCCTCACTGGGTTAATGTGAGGTTTAAATAAAATGCCATGTAAAGTGCTGAATTCTTTGCCTGTCAGAGTCTATAGAAGTGACTGGCAGAGGTTGGTTTCTTTATTTAACAAGTTAACTGGTGAGCTCTGTCATTATAACAAGACCTTTAACCTCTGTGACAACTTGTATTGTACAACAGTGCTAATTGTACCTTGGTTTGTCAGTGTAGATAGACCAGTCAAGTGAGATCAGCTCTTTTTCTGAAAGTCACTAATTGTTACAGAAGCACAACATGAACTGAAGCTTCTCTCAGTTCTAATCCTGCATTATGATTACATTGAAGTGTTAGGAAGAAATTACCAAAAATCTCCATCGAATGAGGAAGTTGTGCCTTAGGCTAGCATTTAGAGCCAACTAGCTGTTTTAGTAGGACCAGGAGTAAGATAGGTTAATCCTGTGTTATATAGCTATTCTAGTTAAGTTTAATTTATACTCTTTGCCATGCTAATTGATTTCCCTTTGCTAATGAAATAACTTTCCAATATCACCACTGTCCAGCGATAAGCAGTTTAGACTGGAAATCCTAACCATTATATAGAACTGGTAGTGACTAATCTTTGTGATCCCCAATTTCAGACACTTAGCCTGTGATGAGGAGAGAGTGGAAGAAGCAAAATTACTGGTGACCCAAGGAGCAAGTATTTACATTGAGAATAAAGAAGAAAAGACACCCCTTCAAGTGGCCAAGGGTGGCCTGGGTTTACTACTCAAGAGAATTGTAGAAAGTTAAGCAGTTTGGATTTATTCTTTATATGTTTTGTTGTCCTCTCTGTCCTGGAAACTATTGTGTTGTGCACAAGGCATCTTGAACTAATGAACATGTGTTCTCACCTCCATAATCTTAGAACATGTTGTATCGCTCCTGCTGAAGTACCTGTTCTAAGCTTCCCACCCACTTTTAAGGCATCGGAAAACTGCTGGGATTGTTCTATTGGTGTCATTTATTGTTCTCCATTAAATCTTGATTAATATGGAGTGTGTGGTCCTGTGGCTTTTATGAGTCTCGAGCACCCTCCCATCTATCTGCTGTCCTGCTGTGGAACCAAACAAGTTCAGAAACAGGCAGCCAGTTGTTTTGTCTAGGTGGGTTCTACACAGGTGAAACAAATCCTGACTTGTTTCTCAAGTTCATGCAGAGACCTTTGCCAGATTTCTCTTTTTTTCAACTATGAGTTTAATTTATTTTTGTTACAGGGGAAGTCGTGTATTTTAGTGGACCAAATTTTAAGTTGAAGTGTATGTTCCTTGAAGGAAATACACTATGTGCCATGTACTTTTTTGACTAGCCATTTTCCTCCAAAATGAGACAACGGTTTTTTCAAAGAAATAAGTGTCTATATTGACTCATCTTGTATTGAAAAGAATTGTCAAGCTTATTAAAGTGATATATAGCAAGATATATTTTGATTTGTATTTCATGTACTACAAACTTATATTTCAAGTACTACAACCAATAAACTGTTGAAAGAATCTCCCAGTTTCTCTTTCAAGTCAGTTACACATTCACTTAAACCTTAGAATCTTGAACTAAGATGTATTTTGCAGTTTGGGATAGTTCTGAAGTCAATAAAATTAATGGAGCTTGAACTACAGCTAAAATTCATAAAAAATCGTAATCTTTTGAATTGCCAAGTTAATGTAGAGTGAAAGGAAATTAATAATTAAAAACTTGAACTCTATTTAGCGAAGCATCTTAATTGATTAGTAGTCAGCAAATGTAGTCCAAGTGACTCTTAATTTTAATTTTATCCTGCAATTATTGCTTCAAAGATGGGATCTAAGTAAATCTGCAAACTTTCATTAATTTTGGGTCAAAGACTTAAATGACCAGTAACTAAAATGAGTCTTGTATATATGAGCTGCATTACTGTTACCAAAACTTTTTGCCATGGATATTGAGTGCTAATCTTTATTAGAGTGAATTAGGAATGTATTTTCTTATGAAATGAACATTTGTCAAATGTTGGTGGTAGAATTGATGAAATTATTCATTTCTGGTTTGTCTTTTTCTAATAGGATCAGAAGGTAAGCCTTGTCTCATAGGGTCTGATGGGGGGCGTGGGGTATAAAAATTTTACAAATTTTGAGATTTCTTGATTTAACAGTAAAGATCAAACAAAGCTTCAGGAAATTAGTAAGCTCTTAATATTACTTAAATCATTTAATTATATAAGCCAGGATATTAATTATCTCTGACATTGATCAAATTGCTACTTGTTGCTATAGGAAACTAAATAGCAACAAACCTCATTCAGGTCAGTAGCTCTTGTAATAACAAAATGAACTCAGAGAATATGGCAATTCAATTGTGATGCTAACCAAGAATATAATATAGAAGTAGGTTACTTGAAACAAGTATAAGATCTCATTTTTATATGGAGATGCATTTGTTTTGAGTCTGGGTTTATGTATGTGAATGAAGTGCCTGCCAAGGCCAGAAGAGGTCATTGGATTCCCTAGGGCTGGATCCCCAAGGCAGTGTGAGCTGCCTGACATGGGCACTATGTGCTGAACTCGGGTCCTGTGCAAGAACAGTACCTGCTCTTAGCCATGGACCCATCACTCCAGCACTGAAACTGAAAAATACTACATCCTTAAGTTTCTATATAGAAAATACAACATTTAACATAGTAACTTGAACATAGCATAAATTTGACATTTCAGCTACCTTTTATATTTGAGGTAAATTTGTGTCTTTATGACCTCCAGTATTTTGATTCCTCAATTACACCAACTACAATGAATTTCTTACATGGTTGTGTCTGGTTCTTGTCTGTTTTCATATTCTCTTATCATTTTTATTAAGCTCCCAAATCAGTCTATTGGTATGTTTGCTAAACTATGAAAAGTTACTCCCTTAGGGGATCATGGCTTCAGCTTTACAGTTCTATCAACTGTCTTAAAATTGAAAGCAGAGCTTCGTGTAGTTTTTTATCAAACTCTCAAAGGAAGCCATGATTTCCCTCAAATGTTCCTCTGAATGATCCTAATAAAGAACAAATCAACTGTCAGAAGATACAGTTCAACAATAGTAGTTAGTCTCCGTATGTGAGTTTTTCTTACATCCTTTCTCACTGCAATCTCTAAGAGAGAAATCATTTCAAAGATAAAACACTGAGAGCTGCAGAAACAGCCAGTCACAAAACCCAGTTTCCTTGGAACCCAAGCTATTTTTTTGTGTGTGTATACTCCAACAATGAACCAAGTAGCTGGAACTCTGGCCTTTTCATAATCGCTGGGATTAGTTGTAACACCTATCTTGTACCTTGCTTTAAATTAGCAGTGGCTTGCATCTATTCGGTTTCACTCCTGTGTTCTAACCTACAGCTCCCCTCTGGTTTTCTGTGTGTTAAAAGTAAAAGAATACTCCTACAGCCCTTTGAATTTCCTGAGAGTCCAGAGCAACTTGTTTCAGTGATCAGATCTCGATGGGCTTCTGGGGCCTCAGGGTAAGTAGGGACTGTTCACTAGAATGGACTGTGATCAAAATCTTAATACTTCAGGTTTGCCACTTCTAATACTTCCCACATCCTCTGTTACCGGGCTGGAGGTTCATTAAATTTATGTGTGAAGTCTCTACAGAAAATCTCCTAAGCTGTAGGGCTTGGTAGCCTTCCAAGTTGCTGAATACATCTACATGCCAAGAGAGTAATGCACCCTGACTCCATGGGAACAGAAGTTCCTTTGCACAAGACCTTTTCGTACTCACGCTAGATACTCTTCAGATAGTTGTGCATGAGTATCTTTTGCAACATCATTTCCAATAAACTGGTAAATATTAAATATTTCTGTGAATTCTGTGAGCCATCAAAATAGCTTGTTGAAACCTCAAGTAGGAAATTATGAAAATTCCCAATTTGTGTCACATGGAAGTGTGGATGACCTAAACAGTGATTATGAATGGTATCTGGTGTAGACAAATAGAGAACAATTTTGTGGGTCTCAGCCCTTGATGTGTGGGATCTGTACCAACTCGGGTAAACGACAGAATTGAATTCAATTCTAGAGGACACAGTTGATGCCCACAGCAATTTGCAGTGTTGTTTGGTGTGAAATTTTTGGCATCAGAAGTTTTTTAAGCAGCTATAATGGTGTTCCTTTCATTGACATAACTTAAAAGTTCTGCTCTGGAGCTCTCATTGTGTTCTGTATCCTTTGATTCTAAACCCTGCTTCTCCTCTCCTCTCCTCTCCTCTCCTCTCCTCTCCTCTCCTCTCCTCTCCTC